AAGGGATGGGGGAGAGAATCGGAGGAGTAAGAGTGAGAAACACTCCTGGGTTGAGATAAGAACAGTTTAATAATTGAAATAAAGTAAAATAGTAATGATAATAGTAACAATAAAATAATAATAATAACAATATACAAAGCAAGTGATGCACAATGCAATTGCTCACCATCCGCTGACCAATACCCAGACAGCTCCCGAGCAGCGATCGCTGCTCCCCATCCAACCCCCCCCAGTTTCTATACTGCCCATGACGCCGTATGGTATGGAATAGCCCTCTGGTCAGTTTGGTTCAACTATTCTGGCTGTGCCCCCTCCCAGTTTCTTTTGCACCTGGCAGAGCATGGGAAGCTGAAAAGTCCTTGACTAGCATAAGCAGTACTTAGCAACAACTAAAACATCAGTGTGTTATCAACATTCTTCTCCTACTAAATCCAAAACACAGCACTATGCCAGCTACTAGGAAGAAAATTAACTCTATCCCATCTGAAACCAGGACACCAAAAAAAAGAGCATTTGTACTGTCATTTGTCTGCATACAGAAGAGAAATTCTCAGCTCAACACAACTTTCTTTTTTAATATAGTAGGTGTGTTATTCCAGGTTTTGTGACCCATATTCAGAAAGGTTGGTGTATCACTCAAAATCAGTTCTTCTGAAGGAGATGAAAGATTACATTAATATTTATCTAAAATTTTCATAAACAGTCCAGAAGTACAAAAAGATACTATATTTATTGGGACTGGAAGACTGGGAAAGGTATCTGGGTTTGGAGATCTTTGAAAAAAATGGAACAGAAGAGAATTCTAAAGAATGATAATAGGACTCAAGAAATGGCTGAAATATATCCCTTTGCTTCAATTCTTCCATCTATAAAATGAGCTGTAAAAATGGCATCAGTTCATAGGAGGATTATGAAAATAGAGCTGCTAATAATTTTGCAGTACTGCACAGCTGTACTGACAAGTATCATAAAAGAACTAATTACTCAGTTATCAGAATAGGGTCTGAATAGCACTAGTGAAATTTTGCAGACAGCAGATTTCACAGTGTGAAGAAGAAAAACTGAGCAAGTCTCATTTAGCAAGCATCATTTGTCCCATGTGGTGATTGATCTGGGCCTGGTGAAGAAAACATGCACTTGTTGAGCAATGTTGTATAGCAATGTATCATTGAAAGTGTAACCCTCTGTTTTGTCACTCTGTCCAACTTCTACCATGAACAAAGAGATTGTGCAAGCAGTTTATACACAAATCGTTTATTGCCTATTGCACACCATATCAGAGTGCTAGAACTAAAAAGCTGCTAAGTTTAACGTGCTTACCACCCCCAGCAAAACACTTGAGGAGTCTCTGTTTTTGGATGAGGAAGGGTTGGCCTCCATTGCTTTTGGGAATGAGCTGGATGACACTAAGTTGCTGTCGTCCAGCTCCCTGGTTTTCCTTAGAGTTTTATACCATTCCAAGACAGTCTTTTTCCTCTTGAATTCTTGAGCGCTTAACTCTCCTTGTCTCTGCAGTCTTTCCAGTGCCTGCAGTTGTACCTTTTGTTTCATGCGTGGCTCTGGTCTATGTATTTTCGTAGCTGTTTCTGAGATACTGATTTCTCAGAAATCTGAGCCCAGGGCTACACAAAGGCACTGAATTGATGCTAAACCTCACGTTATAGCTGATCCCCTAGGAGGGAGTTAATAAAGGAGCCTCTGTAGCTGCATAGAAAACCTTGCAGTCTTGTATTACCTGGCTCTGGAGCACCTTACTTGGCAACCTTAATTTTCTTCCAGAAGACTTTGTGGTATAATAAACTATATAGTATACTCCACTGAAATAGATAATAAAGGTCTTAATTTTAACATCTTTCCATATTATATATTTTGTGACAAAGATTGTTCTTCTGCAAATATATTCTGAATATTAATAAAGCTGAAGCATAACTTTATTGTTTTCCTTAAAAAAAGAAAAAAAGTTTCTAACAAATGCATATACAACATAGGCTTATGTAAGAGAAATATAATTCATCCAACAGAGTTGTTTTCAGAATTTGACTATTACTCCACAGAGATTGAATGAAAACAGAGGTGTTACTTCATTCTTTCCATATAGTTGAAATTGAAGTTGAACTAATTGTTGGTTTCTTTTGGTGCTACGGAAATTTTATAATACATGGTGTGGGGCTTTTTTTTTCATTTATTGTAACAGCCTGAAAAACTTCCCAAAGCTCAGTCTTGATTTTAAGCTTTACTATTTTCTGTGGGGATTATGTGTGGGAGATAGATGGGTAAAGGCTAAAGGCTAAGCATATTATCAGTGTAATTTTATAAAAAGTAAAAACTTCTGCATTCTGTCAATTCAGATTGAAAAACTCTGAAAGCAGAGATAGTTTTAATAATTTTGATAATTAATTGCAAAGTGAAACTAGTAATTGAGAAGAAAGTCCTGTTTGTCTTTATTTTGTGATTAATCAAGCATGTTAGATTAGAAAATGAACTGAAAAAAATAAGGTATGCATTGTAAAAGGAAATAAGTGTTCATGTTTTAACACTTTAAGGAAAGGGCAATTCTTGGTTGAGATCAGGAATATTTATGCCAGGAGGAATAATTTTGATATGGAACACCTGTACTTTGCTATGACCGTATGGCAAGTATTTAATGTTTCTTTCATCCTTCTTATTTCTGAAGGAGTTGGAGCAGCAGTTTGAGAAGGAGAAACTGCATTTGGAGGATGATAAGAATCAGCTCCGACAGCAGCTGGAAAACCTGAAGGAAGAGCTGACAACAAAACTCACTTCTGCCAATCAGGAGGCAAGGGTTAACTTAATTGTATCAGCTAACGGTCCTGTGCACCAGACCACATTTCATCAATAATGATCTTGTGCTTAGTCCACTACACACCTAGGACTACACTGTTCAGTCTGGTTTGTGCCTTATTTCTGTTTAAAGTGGAGTATTCTTCAATCATGATAAGTTACTTGACTGCTTCTGAGCACTGAATTTATTGTCCTTTATAAAATTAACAAAGCAAAAGAGATTGAGGCACAAAACAGTTGATGTAAACAGCCTTTCTTGGTTTAACTCTGCTTATTTTCTCGTTAGGTACACAGACCTCTACGCAAAATACATCAGGAGACAGTGAGAAAATTAACTGTATTTAAACCCATATTTGTTTACAATTAACGTATTGTAAATTCTGGTCAGCTTCCTGACTTGCAGATGATCTTCACATATTTCCATCAAAAGATGACATGAAATACTTATTTATAGTAAGACCCAAATTATTTTCAATGTTTTGATATATGCAATCAACATTAAATGTATCATATCTCTAGTACCAAGCTTTTTAAGAACAGTGTAACCTTAAATACTCACCAGAGACTTTTTTGAGAGTTCAGGTTAAGTCAAGATACTAACTTTCTCACATGTATCTCAGGATGAGGCTGTTTACTCTATAGATTTTGCTTCCTTTCACTGTAGACCAGCCAAGACCTTTTAGAAACTCTTTCTTTGTGTCACTTGACAGAGTAGCCTAACAACTGCCCAACTCCATGCAAAGGATTTCCAATGGTATTACTAAGGATCATTTTAAACAGCCTCCAGCATTGCTTTGTCATCAGTAGAATAGACCCTAAGCCCTATGAGTGACATTCCTGCATGATGTTTCCGTATCCTGTAGGTCTACAGGACTGCTGCTCACATTTCATGCAAGTGGTGTGCTACTACCAGATACACAGACAGTGGTGCGCTTTGAAGATATCAATACAGTTTTAGGGGCAGTTTTTCATGTAGTGGTTTTCCTTCAGGTAGCAGCGCTTTGTAGGGAATTACTAGTTGTTTGTATATAATGCAAAAGAGCACATAGACAAGTGCTCAAGATTACATCAGTTTTTCTCTGAGATCCGTCATGCCAAAGAAATTTGAGATTCCTTGCTGAGATGAAAGAAGTCCCTCTTTTTAAACACTTCACAGGTTGCATGCAGAGGGAGAGAGTTGTGGGAGGGGTGTGTGTGTATATATATATGGGGGGGGGGGCTGTATACGTTATAAACAGTGTTTGCATATAATTATGCTAACAAACAGAAAGAGTAGTTGTAACTGTTACTGTTCATACCTGCAAACCAAAGGTTAGTCTTTTGCTGGGTCACTGGTCCTATTGTGAATGAATTTATCTCAACGTACAAAGGCAATGGCATAGACTAGTCGCCCCTGCCTCCCATTATTCTGTTTTTCCAGCCTACGTATTTAAAAAGTTTTTCCTTTCCTATAGCTGGTGAACAATGTTCAATCTCTAATATTTTTATTTGAAGCAAAGAAGTATACTATCATAATTTTACAAATGGGGAGCTGAAGCACAAACAGGCAGGAAAAAGTGTATTGTTACATAGCAGTTAAGGAAATTATCACATTATATTCTACAGATATTACATTGAGCTTTAAATGAGCTAATTTATGGACAGGTAGCAGTCTGAAAACAGAGAAACATATACGCTAGCACAAGTTAATTTATCCATTAGTCTAGAGTTTATATATTTTGAAATAGTGGTTCTCATTATTTTAATTTGCATAAAACATGCTTTCTCACAGTAAAGTTACAGGTAATTTCAGAACTTTTATGTAACCTTTTTCTTTGCAAAATGCTTCAAACATAGGTTGGATTTTTTTTTACTTGTAAAATTCCTTTAATTGAATCTTTCTTTGATTTTTATAATATTATAGGAACTTGTTTTTTCATACAGAGACATTAAGTGATATTAAAGGAGAACAGGCTGTGCAAATAAACACTTGTCTAGGTTGGAATTAGAAAACACTGGAAGAAAATGAAACCAGGATGACTTGGCTGCCATTAGTAATAATTATGGAAATTACAATTTCTTTTTCTTTTAATGTCATAGGTGTGTCGTCTGCAAGACCTAGTACGAAAAAGTGAACAAGGCCTTGGTACTGCAGAAGGACATATCTCCAGTCTTCAAGAAGCTCAGGAAATACTCCAGAAAGAACTAGAATTAACTAGAGCAAGACTGCGAGAGACCACGGATTCATTGTATAGTGTTGAGGTAACCATAATGTTGGCGAATAAATTGTGTGAAGTACAGTCACAGTTATTTTGGTCTTGTTTTTAAAACAGCAGGAAGTATTATAGTATACACATTATTGAAGGAGCTTCATATGGCTTCATTAAAAGAGAGATTTCTCTTTTTATTTCAAGCAGAGAGAAAAAGTCTGGAAAACTAGGATGGGTTGATTTGGGGGAGTGTGGTTTGGTTGGTTGGTTGTTTTGGGGTGGGGGGGTTTCTGTTGTTTTCAGAACACTTTTAGTATTTAATGGGTATTGCTGCAAGCATGTCTTTCTGTGGTTAATATAAACTGTAGGTGCCGAAGTATGTCCGTACAAAATATATCTAGAGTTGGATTTTTCAGAGGTTTAACAGAATTTCATGAGAATGTAAAAAGGACATGTGTCACACCAGTGCTATTCCAGACAGTTTCGTGTCTTGGTGCAGAACAAGATCCATAGCTGACTAGCTCTAGAATTCATTGAAATCTTTTTAATTTTTTTTATGCATGTATACCATGTTTTCCTCAAATAATGGGCACAGTCTTCACTTCAGGCTCAAATTTAGAATTTCAGAAGATGCTTGAGAATAGTTTAAAGATATATGCTATGATATCTTGAAAGATAGCAGACTATCATCCAGAAAATATGACCACTTTATACACTTGAAGCAATTAATTTGTCTAAGCACAAATATATTGCCATTTTAGTTGTCTTCAGATGCCAGTTAATCTGTCAGTAGCTCATTGACTTTAATACTAAGGGTAACCTTTCTTTTTTCTTTCCTCAGTAAATGATGTATATTTACAAGATCACAGCAGTATTTGAAATAGAGCAGCAAATATTAAAAAAAAAATTCCCTGAATATGTTTTCATATTGGTGTTGATTTCTTAACAAAACCAGTCTGAAACAAGATATTGGTGTGTGTATATATACATTTTAATTTCTTTCAGGTATGGTCATTAGATGTGCCCCCTATTACAGTTTATAACTTCCTCTGTATTTTTTATAATTTCTCTAAGTATCCATATGAATTACTGCATTCTTCTCTGTTCATCTATTATAACATTTAAATATTCATATATAGCAGGTTACTGGCAATAACATTTCTCTTAACAGATTTTAAAATATATAAATGAAAAAATCCTACAGGAAAATTCTCACTTTAAGAAGTCTTAATTAAATTTAGATGGCCATGTTTGCTTCTCACGAATGAAGCAAGCACTGCTGAAAAACATTCATGTAAGTATGATTTCTAGGTAGTACCTAATACTATTCTACTATGGTAAAATTTGAACAGAAATAGATAGGAATTTTAAATTATTTTTCTGTGTTGAGACTGTGAAACCCTGTTTCTAGCAGGTTTGTCCAGTCAAGAAACAGAAAGAAAATACGTAAACTTTGTATCAGATCCATATAGCTCAAGCTTTGAAAATCAAATACTGAATATTTGCTGGTTTAAAAAAAAAATCCAAAACATGCTTGACAAGAACCTAAGCAACCTGCTCTAATTCTGAAGTTAGTCCTGCACTGAACAGGACTTGATGACTTTTTGAGGTTCTTACCAACATAAATTATTCTGTGATTCAGTGTAACAGTATTTGAAAAGATTACTTCCAGAATGACTTATTGGAAAATTGCTTTTTATAGCTTTTTATAGGAATGAAGAATTCTGTTCCACAAATAAGAAATATCAGCAAATGTATAGGCATTAATTGTGTGTAATTAGGAATTACACATTGAAAAAGTTATGGTTCAAGTTTTATGAGCCAATCATAACTGCCATTTTTGTTATACACTCGTTTAAGGTTTGAAATACTTTTTTGCTGCTGATCAGTCTCTATTGCGAAGTTTGTGTTTGCAGGGAGAACTAGATCAGGAGAGACAACAGCACGAGGCAATGATTGCTGCCATGAGAGAAGAGGAAAAGTTCAAAGTTGACAGAATGGCTCGTGACTTGGAAATAAAATGGACAGAAAATCTTCGGCAAGTATTGATTTTTTTTTTTTTTTGATCTTTTATTCTTTAGTAAGAAATGAAGTATGTATTACATGCAAATGAAATGAAAAGCAAAGGTTTCTGTTGTTATCTAAGCTTTTCCAGTTATTACTGAGCTCTTAATTCTTTTCCACTTGTTGCAGAAGATTCACTGCATTTTAGTTATTTGACCTTTGCTTTTAGACAGGAATGTAATAAGCTTCGTGAAGAGCTGAGGCTGCAGCATGAAGAGGATAAGAAGGCAGCCATGACTCAGCTGTTGCAGCTGAAAGAACGTGAAAAAAATGCAGCAAGGGATGGGTGGCAAAAAAAAGTTGAAGATCTTTTAGACCAGGTAACTATGTTCATTTTGAGAATTGGAAGGCCATGACAGTTTAGTTGCTAGTGGTTTATTACCAATTAGCTACATCAAATTGGTTGTGACATCTGTCTTTGAAATGAAATTTGTTAGCATAATGCTTTTTGAACCTAATCATTACTGAACTTTTTAAATAATATATGAAGATGCCTTAAAATTATATGAATGTCCTTCTTTATACTAGATGTGAATAAAACTTTTTACAGGTTTTTTTTTTGGGTGGAGTGAGAGGGTGTTGACCATCTCATTTCATGGCGATAAGATTTTTTTTTATTCTCTGTCTGCTTACCTAATCTATTGTAAATATTTACCAATGCTAATTGTTTGGACTTGGAGGTATCCCTTATCTTTACAATAACGACACTGTACAAGTCACTGAAAAGTCAAAACATCCCTCAGTTTCTGTGACATGTTTATTACAGCTATGTCTTAAGTGATTTTGAACATTATATTGGGATTTTTTTTTATAAATACTGAGTTTTTTAATTGAAACTCTTATTTATAAACTCAGTTATGTTAGATAATTCACAGAAAATACTTGCTTTGTACTTTTTCCAAACCATAAATGCTATAGAACTGGTTTTATGGACTACAGTTTAAAAGAATAGCTGATAATGAACAAATACTTTTTAAAGTAAGAGAAACAGATTTTGGAGCTCATTAAATGACTGCAATTTCAGGGTGTTATTGTGGGATGGCTTTTAATTTGCAGTCTAATTTGAGAAGTCTAATAACTGAACATGCACTTGATTATACAGCTTCTTATAGGAACACATAACAATTTATTTTGCTGTAAGGGAATTTAAGCTTGTAAAATCTTGTGGCTTAGGCTCATAAAAGCTGGAGGTTTTCAAAGTTCTTGGTCTCTTATTTCTTACAACATTAATGTAAGAAGACTTGGACTCCTTTGATTTTAAGTTTCACTTACTGCCTTCACCCAAGTTTCATTTTCTTTCTTTACTTCTACCTATAAATAGCATTTTCCCTAGGAAAGTAGAATTTTAAAGGGATATGTTAAACTTTCTGTAGTTTTAACATACTTCTAAAATACTTTACTTATCTCTACCTTTTAAAAATACCATAATAAATCTAACCTACAGTTTCAGAATGGAAAATTAGTATGTTGCAAATGAACAATTTTTTTTCTGCATATGCAATAAATTTTGGAATCAGAAGGCTAACTGTAATAAGGAGAATTTTACTGGAAAATTTGCAGACATAGGAAATGGTCTGCATATGCAAAATGGTTGGGTTTTTTTTCTTCATTCCTTTTACTGTACCAAAAAGCTGCACCATTTCATAACAGCATGTGTGTTCAGAGGACTAAGAAACTAAACCCTGGGATTCTTCCTTTTTTTTTTTAATCCAGCTGTTGCTTTCCCATACCAGTGTTTGAGTTGGATAGGTATTCCATAAAGATCAAAGAGTTATTGCTGGTGGTAGGGAATTAAGTTTTCACTCTGGAATAATCTACATTTTATCCATTACACCTGGAGGAGAGAGAATTCTAGACCATAGCATACAAGATTGGTAACTTAACTCTTAGAGAAGTGGGTTTGTAGTAAGTTCCTCCCGATTGCAGCGCACAAAGGGTAGCCTCTGAGAGTTGCACTGACCTGAATCATAGACTTGCTTAGGTTGGAAGAGGTCAGGAGGTCATCTAGTGCAGCCTGCTGCTCATATCAACCAACACTGAATTTGAACCAGGTTGTTTAGGGCTTTGTCCAGTCAAGGCTTGAATAATGTCCAAGGATGAAGATTCCACAGCCTCTCTGAATAATCTCTACTAGTGCTTAATCATCCTCATAGTGAGCTTTTTCTTCATATTTAGACAGAACCTCCTCTGTTTCAGTTTATGATCAATTGTCTCTCATTGTCCTATTGTGTACCACTGTGACGAGGCTGGGTCCACTGTCTCTGTAACCACCTTGTAGGTACTGGAAAGCTATTAAGTCCCACAAAACCTTCCCTTCTTTAGACTGAACAAACCTAGTTCCCTCAGAAGGATATATGTTCCAGTCCCAGCTGTCTTGGTGGTAGCTCTCCACTGAACATGTTCAAGTTTATCAACGTTTGCCTTGTACTGGGGCAATCAAAGCTGAATGAACTGGAGGAGGAGCCAGAATGTGCCCTCCAGGTGATGTGCAACAAGTGCCAAGTCAAAGGGACTGATCCCTTTCCTCAAAGTACTGATGTTGGTACAGCCCAGTGTGCTGCTGGCATTCTTTGCTACCAGGCCGCACTGCTGATTCATGTTTAGCCTACTGTTAAGTAGGTTATGCGAAGTGGATCTGTAACGCAGTATGAACCAGTGCAGGGGTTTAGTCCATCACATGTAAAGGACTTTGCATTTGTCCTTGTTGAATTTTGTGAGGTTCCTATTGGCCCATACCCATAACCTATATGGGTCCCTCTGGATGGTAGCCCTACCTTTCAATGTATTGTGTCCCCTCCACTGTGCCGTGCTCCACCTTCTACTCCTCCCACTTTGGTGTCTTCCACAAACTCCCTGAGAGTACTATCTGTCTCCTCCTTCAGATCATTGTTAAGGTACTAAAATGAATAGGTCCTGGAACAGACACTTTAGGAACTCTGCTTGTAACAAGCTTTCAGATAGAGTGAACCATTAAGTGCTACCCTTTCAGCCTGATAATGCGGCCAGTTCTCATCTGTCTGGTAGCCCACCCATCTGAATTGTGATCCAATCAGATACAAGGATGTTAAAAATCTTGCTGAAGATGAGGTTGCAAACGTCTGCACTCTCCCCTCATTCACAGATCTAGTCATTTCATCATAGAAGAAAATCAAAGATACTTATTTTCATTATGGAAGACAGTGGAAGAGTTTTGGTATGTGTTTCATAATGCAAAGATTACTATACGCTTTGGTTGTGTTAATCTAGAATGATGCTACTCTGAGCAGACGCTGCACTGGGCCCCTTTGACACTACAGGAACTACTGCAATAAGCCTAGCTGTGCTTGGCAATCTCTAAATGTGCAATAAGACTCTTTACCTCAAAGGGTTCACAGTCTAGTTTAAACAGACTGGAGACAGCAACAAAGTGAGATTCTTCTGCTGTTACACACACACACACAAAGCTAACAGCATTGGGAAGAATTCAAATTTCAGTCCATCAAAAGGATATCTGTTCATACCTGTCTTCTTTCAGCCACACTGAACTAGAACAGCCTGAGATACTGCAGTAGGGGTGTGAAATTGTGAATTTGTTACACCCAGCCCCAGTCTTCATTAGTGGGAGGATGCATTTAAAACCCATTTGAAAGGCATGAAGTCTGTGTAAAAATTAGGAAGAGAGCAGACATCCAACTTCTCTTTCTGCAATTCAGATTTTTACACCTGAAACATTGGTCTGGTCTATACCAGCAGTACTATAGAACAATTTATCAAAATAATACAAGACCAAGGTCTCTGCTAAATCATCTGTAAACTCCTAACTTGACAGAAAATGTGGTCTACATGTGCTCTTTATGTTGAGAAAGTGTCTAGAGCTTCACCATTTAGTTTTATAAATGCTATTCAGAAAGGTTGAATTCAGAAATGAAATGTTCATCAATACAGGTACATAATTTTCTAATATGTATTGATGCATCTGAGATTTGATTTAAAAACCTATGAAGAACTGTAGCACCTAACTTGAAGTTTAGGAATGGTTATGCAAGCAAAGTATTGGAAAAAACAGGTTTAAATGAATGGAGAGAAGTGGTATAGTATAGCTACTTAATTTTTAAAAAATAAAATTAAAAAAATATTCAATAAAAAAAATGTATGCCCATAAAGTGTACTAAGTTAGTTTGGGTTTTTTAATCATGTTACACTAATCTACAAATACCTGCCTTCTACTAATTGTTGCACATTTGATAGGTAAGATCTAGCTCTTGCATAAAGCAGGGTAGTAGTTTTGCTTTTATACCAGTAATGCTAAGTGGTCCCTCGTAGAATGCATGTAGGATTATTGTTATTCTAACAGTATAGCTTTGTTATGAGTAAAATAATTCTCTTGAGAGAAAATGCTATTTAGCTGATTAAGTTCCTGCCGGTTGCGAAACATCACTTGCCATCTGCAGTTGAATGTGGTTGGTAGGTTAACTAGATCAGTGTCTAGAGACCAAGTATGCACTTCTTATGTCTGATATGAGAAATGGTTCTAGAAGACATAAAAAGAAAGTGCTTTTCCTTTTTTCCCTCTAAATTGTACTAAGTATTTCTACATCAGTCCATGTGAGAGTTTCTTCATGAAATATGTAGTGAATTCAGATGTGCTTGCTCTTTTCCATTTCTCTTAGTTGTGTAATGGGCTTTTAACGCTTTTCTTAAAAACATTTTACTGCTGAGAAGGCTTCAGCCATGGACGAAATAGCAGGAATTTTCTTTTTTAAAGCATGAGCGTGGTCTCTGTTCTGCCTCTCCGTGTTGCGCAACCTTCAATTCTGGGCACTGAAATGTACAAGTTAAGATCTGTATTCTTCTTGTCTATTTCTTCTTGTGATAAATCTTTCTTTTTGTAAACTGGATCAAGTATTCTATATTTGAGCAAATATTGGTTCTCCCATCTTCGTTACTTTTCAGTAACACATGTGTTCCAGTAAAATAAATGTTTTTGTCAGCATTTTTTTTTCCATTCTTATGTAGCTTCATACTATTACACGACCAAGCATTAGTGTGACATGCTTCTTTCTAACGTTGTCAACTTTTTACACATGAAGATACCATCTTCTACTAATGGAAATATTAGAAGTAGTACAGTGAGAATTGACAAATGCATACTACATATGCTTTGGTAGCTGTTGTTTATTTTTCCTGCTGCAAAGATTGTCTCCTTTTTTGAAAAAACTGTAGAAGTTTCCTATTCAGAGTTTGTTTCTATGATGGTGTGTTCCTTTTTAAACTGTCAAAGTAAATATGAGAAATTTTGATTTATATAAAAATGTAAATATTTCCTTCTGATGTAGACATT